CGTCTGGGGCTGTAGGGGAGGGGGTGGGTGCTTGGCCTTGCAGGGAGCCAAGCGAGGCCTGGTGGCCCACTAGGCTTACAAAGTGCTGGGGGAAACTCTGACATGTTTTGATTAAATGAGTGTTCCACACCTTTTTAAGGATGTGCCCGATTGCCATAATGGCTCTAAAGATAATCTTACCAGATATTCCTGCTGTGTGTGGTGTGTTATGAGCACCCTGGTCTGCTCAGAAGCAGGATTGTCTTGGTCCAGACAAGAGTGATGCCTGTGGATTGTGATGTGTCACCCCTTCTTCTCCATGTTTTTTTACCCTGAGGTTTGATTTCACAAGATTTCCCATCTGACCGGAGAATGTTTTTGTGTGAAATAGTTTTTTGTGTAGTTTTTTTTTTTTTTCTGTATCACCACACACTACAGGACCAAAACTCACTCAATTACTTCTAGTGATAGAAACTAGCTCCTCCTGACACAGGACAGGAACCAACATGTTAAAGTGCCGGCTGAAAGTCTTATTTCTTGTGGAGTAAAGCTTTTTTAATGCAACTGTTACATCTTTTATCAAATAGAGGGACATTTAACAGCCTATAGGAGGGTTAAAATGAGTGCTTTACAATGCAAAGAGCTTCCTTCTCCTTTTGATCTCCAAAGAATTTAGTGCGACTCTGCTGACTGAGCCATCATCACAACATAAAACAGGAGTCCTTCTGTCAGCAATTTGTGCTTTTTTAGTCAAATTCACTGTAATTGTGGTTAGAATGAAAAGCTTTGTACCACCGCCCATCACAGATCCTGCAGTCTTTGAATATGTCAATGGCTGATTTTTATGGCTGTAATGGATAAAAAACAACATGGTAGTGTTAATATGCATCCTTACACATGAGCAGTGCTCCAAATTGGCTTCATTGTTATCACAGTTTTGTTAGCAGGCTCTGCGTGTCTTTGCGTCCTGTCAGTCAGAGGAGGAGGTCCGCACCTCGATCACGTCCTTCACACAGTCTCCATCACGTGCACTCGTCATCACACTAAAAGCTGTTTCATTACTTTTCCTTTTCACAGATTCATTTGTTCTCTCTGTGTCTGAGTCAGAGCACTCACAGATCTCAACAGAATGTGCTTTAAATTAAATTTTTTTTAACAAATTGTGGACTACAACAAATTTGACCCCATGTTTAAATTTGCATTCAGCCGCTGAGGAGAGCTTCGACTTGTTCCCAAACCAAACAGCTGAATCAGGAGGCGTCTTCCTGTTGGATCAAACCTTTCTAATAACCCGTTCCTGTACGTAAATAAGACACAGCTTTGACGCCATGATGATAATAATGGCTTTGAGTTCTAATGAGATGCGTATCAAAGAGCATCATTGTTATTAACACCAAGTCTCTTTGCCCGTACATCCAAATGGCATCATTACCTTCTTGCCCCTTCCTGTTTTTACTTTTTCCCCAGGAGTTGAAGCTAATTCAATATGAACTGGAACAAATGTTTCATTACTGCTTCTGGATATTTGCTGCAGCTCTTGCAGGTACCTCCCCAGCTTCACTTCAGAGGCAGAATTACGTGCAATTGAGTCATTCTCACTTTGCTGTGATTGTGCGCAGCAGGAGTCACAGAACCTGTGCTTTTGTTTTAATCAGACTACCACTTGACTTCAATTACACCTGACACAGGGCGGCTTTTCATTAAAGAGGCTATAGGGTCGTGAAAAATTCAATGTGATCTTCACTTGTGGGTTTTTATTCTCTAAAGATAATAAATAATTAACTTAAAATGCATTTTTTAAGTCTTCCACCCAAAACGATGACTTGTTGCAGAGGGGGATGTGCAGATGTTTACAGCTTCAACAGCGGGAAAGAGTTTAGCTTATTATCTAAACCACGTATTCTTCAGCAGAGTCATAGGGAGCTGGTGCTTACCTTCAACAGTCATTGGGTGGGAGTCGGGGGACACCCTGGACAGGTTTCTGGACCATCACAAGAGCACACTAAATAGACACAGACTCACACATAGGGACAATGCAGTCTCCAGCAATGGCGGCTCGTCTATAGGGGGTGGTAGGGTGCCCCCCACCACCACCACAGCTGCGTACACACCATGGAGTTTTTCATAATTAGATTTGTAAACACTCTCCAGAAGGTAAAACAGGCCCAGGTGAGACAGACGTTACACTTATGACTTCATGAAATTTGCATTGTTTTGCATTTTTATTTAGTGGCATATTTACATGATTACATGCACCTGTTCTCATTAAAGTGACACTGTGTAGCTTACCTGGTGATAGGGGGCAGTACATACCTAAATCACTGCAAGCAAGCATTATTTTTGTGTTCAAATAAGACCTTACCAACGGATGGCCATTAGGGTCAAAAATCTCTGGGAGTGGAACCTCCAGCAAAATAACAAGAACATCAGATTCCCTTTCATCACTGGCAATGAGTGAAGAGGTAAATGCGTAAAACAATCATGTAGTCCTCACAGACTTCCGTAGAAGGAAACATGACATCCAATATAGCGTCGCCCAGAGATTTAGACCCATTCCATGTATTTTACAACTAGTTTTTATGATTATATGTTAGGAAACTGCCAATATTTTTCAACAACTGGGCATCTTTTAATTCATTTACTACAACATTTCGATGGATATTTCCAGAGATTAATGGTAAAAACAAAATTTCTTCACTTAAAGTACAAGTGCCGTTTGCATATATTGGTGAATATTAAGCATGCTTTTGGACCAACTTTGTTGCCAGAAGAGCTTGTGGTGGACCCCAGTACTGGGTTCAAGTTGTGTGAGGCAGTAAAATAGTGATTTGTCTCCCCCTAGTGGCGATATGTGGTTAGCACATCTGCCCTACCATAAACTTTCAGCCGCCACTGGCCTCCGGTTAAACTAACATACATGTTTTTGGTCTGTGGGAAGAAGCTGGATTACCTGAAAAAAATGCTCAAACATCCACAGCGCGAACATGCTAACTTTGCACAGAAAAGTCACAGTCGAGATTCATACCTGCGATCTTCTTGCTGTGGGGCAACAGTGACACCAGCCGCAGCCCTTGGCATTATGAGAGCAGTTTTAAAGCCTGATCTCAATTTACTTTTATTTTCTACTTGGCACTATTTACTTTTGATCCAAGCCTCCTGCTTTGGTTGGTTTATTAAACCGATCCAGATGTTTATTCTGTGTGTTTTATTTTTTATTTATTTATAGACTAGTTGGCTACAAAAGTGGAAACATCGGGCTGCTAAAAGGAGAAAATGCGAAAAACTCATTAATGGTTCTGATTGGATTTTGTGGTTATTATTATTTTTTAACTCTAAAAAAGGGTTTAACTAAATCAGATAAACACAATAAGATAAACACAGTCTTACTGAAAGTGTGTTCACAACTTCATACCAGTTTGTTTGAGCAGATGTGATCACAGAAAAGGTGTGGACCATAATAGACGTACTGTGAATACCTTCTAAAAAATTAAGAGTGGTTTGTTAATATCGTGAGCGTGCTCCAACCTAGATGAGATGCAACTACGGATTGCATGTTGTGAGTTTGAGCCCAAAGCCTCACACAGTTTGTTTTATGGTCTGGGATGCGGTGAAGTATATCGCTGCTGCACAGAACCATCTTCCTGTTTTCATGTCTGGTAGTCCCACCTCAGACACATTTTGTTTTGTTTGCCACTTCCTTTGTTAACAAACTCACCAACTGGTTCAGACCAGAGTAAACAAACTCAAGGTGTGAAAATGCTTTCGTTGATATCTCTTGTTTGCATATAAAGATGGTCTTTCTGTAAACTATCGTAGAAGCAGTGGATAAATAAAAGGAATTTGAGTATTTTTTTCAGCATTTTATCCCTTTATGTATTTACTTTTTCCACTAATTTCACATGAAGGGATTTCCTACTTTTGGCACCAGTGTGGGTTAAAGCCAGAGGAGTCTCCAGCTCCAGTTTAAGATCCGTTTTGCTGTGAGGATTTATCTGCTTGGCTCTATGGTCAAGGGCCCACTAAGCAAAGCTACTTAACAGCAAATCTTGTTTAGCAGAATCCTCTCCAAATAAGAGCCTCTCTTTCTGTCACAGTCCTCATCCTCCATTATTTTTTTCTCTCTTAGCCATTCCTAATGTGTGCCAGTGAAGACACAGCCTGGCTGCCGTTAGCTGTGTCGCTAACGCCACTGTGTGGTTCCTGGCTCAGATATTTTGGTTTGCGTAGCCGGTTTCTAACTACTGTTACTAACCCTGCTGCTTGGAAGGGGTAATGATGTGTTTACTGGCAGGTTAAAACACCACTTATATCTGGGTTTGTTGTTTCCATCGGCTTTGTTGGATTTCAAAGCTTGTTCTCCAGTTTGTTGGTAGAATCTTTAGCTGCTTCACCTCTACTGAGCCCTCTCTGGGTGAGTAAGGGCAGTTCCACTGGTAATAATTTGCTTTCATGTTGAAGCAGTTTTTACGAATGTTGACCTGAGGAATTGACTGAGGATTATCGGAGGTCGTTCTCGAAGGTGCTTCCAGAATAACCGCCGTTTTATGTCATCATCTGCGTTCAATTGTTCACCTGACCTTCACTGCTTCCTTTTTAATTCGATGAACAGCGTCAGGACTTTTAGCGCAATTAAGATGTTCATTTGAGTTTGAGTAATGAAAACGGTTTTACTCAGCGGGTCTAAAATTCACTTGTGGAATGTAAGGAGTGGTTCTGAGGATCGTGCATTAAAATGGGATGTAAACGTGCCTTCTCCTTCTCCTCTATCCTTCTCTAACCGCTTCAGACGTTGCGAAAGAAAGGCTTTAATGGCTGCAACAGCCCCGAGCCCGACGGCGACGACTCCATCGACCAAAGTCCACTAAACGACCGCAAGACCGAGGACCTGGACAGCCTCTTCAAACGCTATGGCGTGAGTACCGTCACACTCTGGTCACCTTATCTAACCTGCTCTTTCTGTTCTTCTTTCTCTCTTTCTCTGTCTATCCTCTTATCTGTCTTTGTGCCTTTGGGGAGCGAAGGCTCTGAACAAGAAAGAGCACCGTGACTCTGAGAGCCCCGACCCCGAGGAGCCCTTCTCCCTCACCCCCCGCACTGAGGAGAAATACAAAAAAATTGACGAGGAGTTTGATAAAATGATGCAGAACTATAGGCTGTCAGTGAGTACCTCCCACCATTCTGTGCACCCCCCCCCCCAACCCCCCTCCCCCCTCTTGTTGCTGCTGCTGCTGACCAGACGTTACTGGCTGCTGATGGCGGTCTGATTACTCACAGAGCACCTGCCTTCACCATTCCTCTCCTTCACCTCACCTCTTACCAGATCACTACCCACAATCTCCTGCTTCCCCTCAGGATGTGCCTCGAAAATAAACACGAGAAAGATCATTCAGATAGTGCGACGAGAGCCGGAATGTTAAACTAAACCCAATCCAAAGAAGTATTCATGTTCAAACTTAGCCTCCACTTTCTCATCTACCCGCCATTGCTATTAGGAGATAAATAAACGCAAAAAAAAACAAACTATGCTTTTATTACAGTGTATTTCTCAAGTTCTAGAACAGCTGCAAAACATTCTCCAGCAGAATCTTCCTTGGAAAATGGCATAAATTCTTTGCCGTGCTGTAAATTTGACACTTGGATAGAAAGAAGTCATAAAACAAGAAGCATAACACCAAATACTGCGCGCTTTAATGGGATTATTTGCCCAAACAGAGGGCTTCCGAGTGAGCATTACTGCTATAATAAACTGTTTATATGCCACTGCAACTTCACTAAACCATGAGAAAATACACTAGAGGGTAAGAAGTGTTAACTAGGTCCCCAGTCTTCATAAAAGTTGGCATAGCAACTAGAAAATTTGCAGGGGGAAATGTTTTTGTGAGGCTATAATCAACACCTTAGGAGTATGTCTTGGATATTTGCCTGAAATTATAAATTGTTTATTACTTGGCAATATCAAATAGAGAAGAGTGAGCTTGTAGCCACAGCAGCAGGGCTTAGGAAACCAGAGTGTAATTATTATCTGTCTGATGTTCCAGTGTCACTAAGGTCAGCCTGGTTTGAGTGCAGTTCTGCTTCTTTTGGCTTGATCTGCTCGCCAACCCATCCAGGTTCTGCCCCCTGACTGGCGCTCCGCCAAATTCCTTTTACAGCTCCTCTCCTTTGCCAACTTCTCCGTGATTCTTTTTTCCTTCTGTGCTCAATAATGCAATTAATGTCACTTTAATGAGGAGCTCTTAATTTACCACCTCTCTTCCTGTCTGCCTGCATGTCTGATTGGTCACTTGGGATGGGACACAGTCACATTCAGGTGCTGCAAAGGAGTTGGTCTGCAGATGGTTTGAGAGTTACACTCAGTGTTTGAACTGGATGGAAATGTCTTTTACTTTCCTGTCAGGATGATCATACAGTGGTATTGTGATGGTGTTAGCTTGCAAAACTTTGTAGAACTTTCATTTGGATTATAAAACATAAAGTTCTTGCATCAGTGACCAAAGCCGATATCTCAATAGGAGGCAACAACATTCATGAGTTTCCAAAATATTTCTAAACTTTGCAAGAATTCTCAATCCCAATCTGAGTCCTGCCAGTCAGTTTAGAGCCATTTAGCCTCTCACCCTTAAGTTTAACTGTTTCCTACTCCATCAGACCAAAATAAAATGATTTTTCCACCTTGCCATGATGAGTTCTGCGGAAACCTTTTATTTAGTCATTCATTAAAATTAGACATGTTGGAGTATAGGGACGGTTAACATTTGCAAGGTGGTATCCCTCATTCCTTCAGAATTTCTGCAAGATAAATTTTCTAGAACCTTTCTTAGTTTCCTTGAGTCAGACTTTAATCTCCACACAAAGTCAAAATTATACATAAATGACTGTTTTTAGAGCAATACAGGTGGAAGGTAATAACCAAAGAGTAAAGATATTTTTACTTGAGTTTTCAGATATTTTTTATAGATGTTGAGCGCTTTTATTTTAGTTTCATTTTAAAGGGATAGGAGCTGAAACACTTCTTCCTGCTAGTCGACCTGCAGGTCAGAGAGCTGAGCATGCTTTGTGACTAAACTTTAGTGAGGAAAATTTGCACGACTAATGCATTTTCTTAACAGTTATGTTAAACACCCAACGTGCCAAGCTAGAATCCAATGTCCTTCTAATTCAAAGTGATCTAGATTCACCGACGTTTTACCAACAACCACAAAGCATTGCAGGTATTTGTGCTCCACTCTTATCCCAGTGGTTTAATCAGTTCAATAAATCCCCGTCCTCCTGAGTTCGACCCTCCCTCTCTGTTCTGTATGAGCTCTTAAAAGCTTCCCTGTAGTGAGAAAACCACGGCAGAGGAAATGTATGAACCTGTCTACCACCTGGATATGTGAAGCTCATCATCTACACTGACTGAATATCATCCAAACTCTGCGTCCCCACCACAGCGGCTCCCTTTGTCAGCCTGCCTTACCTGCCTGGTTTACCAGCGTACCTTTTCACTGGCAGCAGCTGTGGTGCACCACCCACCACTCCTTTCTTCGACATAATCCCCAGCATGACAGCTAGGGGCCGGGATATACAAGCTTAATCCCACTTGTACTAAAATGCCTCCTGAGGCAAGGAGAGTGAGGTGATGCAGAACAGGCAGGACACTCGGCGCGACGAGCCAAAACCTCTGGTTTCAAGAAAGATGGAGCCTTTTTGCCCTTGGGCTTTTTCATTTTTAATTCTAGAATTAAAGAAGGGTTATTATTTCAGACATATGCGGTAGAGGTTTCAGATGTTTGGCTTTGTATTCTTAATAAAAAAACAATTTTATCTGCAAATAAAATAATGATGGTCAAGTAAAATTAAAGATATTAGTATGTTTTATATCTTTCCCTTTTAAAATTGCCAATTAAATCAAAATTTTATTATTTTTATGACTACAATGAAATTTATGCTTATACTTTTTAAATTCATGCATTTTCAGTTCTTTGTATTTGTTTAAACACAACAACAACAATTTGTTTAATCACAGCAGCTTACTAAAGAGATGCGTAACTATTAAAACAGAAAATAGAAAATGTTTAAAAAATAAAACTTTCAAAAGGCTTTCAGGACAAAAGAGGGAAAAAGGCAAACCAGACCAAGAGTTGAAACCATTCCGACTTCGCCGTGCATCCAGGAAACACAACAAACTTGTTGACAAAAGTGAAACTAAACTGGATTTCTTTCCATTCTTCTTCGTCTCTTCAAAGAAGAGATCTTGAGGTTTATTAAAATAAAAGCTTTTTGTCAATGATTTACCTAACAGGTTCTTGTTTTTTTTTATTTAAAGTTTTTTCTATCTTTTTATAAAATTAAATGCTGATGCTAACTATCCAGTTAATGCTTTTGTGGATGCTTGCTAATATGCAGCCAAATGCATCGGTAGACTTAAAGAGCAAGTCACCCCCTACCAGAGTGTCCCACTTCCTGTTTGAAAAATGCATGCATCACAAGGAGACGTGGCCTGGCAGACTGAGAGAGCAGAGCCACTAACAAACTCACACAGGCTCACAGCAGCATTGTGACATCATAATGTACCAGCTAATGTCATAGGGTACCTCATACCCAATAGCGATGTCAGATTTAAATTTAAATGTAGTTCAGAGTTTTTACCTGAAGTATGCGCAACACTGGCAGTTTTAGGCAGAATATTTAAATTTGAACCAAGATGCACTAAAGTGCCAAATTACACATGTCTACAGCACGATTACACACTCATTTATATAGTTTATTAGCAAAATAGTTGATTTGGGGGTGACTTGCTCTTTAACACCAAAGAGGCAAGAATCCTGATAAATAATCCAAAACTAGTAAACCCTAGAAAATGACATCAAAGAGCAATGGAGGTGGTAGAAACGAGACCCCATTAACGGATATTTTAAATGTCATTTTAAAAAATCAACTTTTTAGGTTTTTTAGAGCTGCCAAGATTTCATATTGATATATGTTTATGGATTTCTGCGAATTGTCAGTTTGATTATCAAACAAACAAACAAGTCCGAGTTTGTGATGCTGAAGCGTGTTAGGATGCTTCGTACAAAGAGGAGGATAAACATTCTCTCTTCCACCCATTCCTGTGAAGATAAATCAGCTCTGCCTCTGCGTTTACTCATCTCCACCCACTTTGCATTAACCCCACCCCACACCCACCCACATCATTAATCCATCCCATCACTTTATCTTCGACTTCATCAGCGTGCAGTGCTGTGAACTGCTGCTCTCACCGTCCTGAGTCACCACTTCCAGCTCGTCTGCACGTTCTCCTTTACCCCGCCTTTCGGTCTGATAATATGAATTGTCAGACTGCTAGGTGCCTTCTCCACCAATAAATTATATTTTAATTCTGTAACAGGTTGAATCACATAACAGGAATACCATAAAAGTCAACTTCCTTGTGCCATTTGTTGTTAGAGATAACATGGAGAATATTTGGGACAGCAAAAGTTCTAACTAATGTGTTTTAGTATAAAATAAATTGGGGGGTTCCCAAAAAAGCTAATATTCACTTTTATTATATCTAAGCAGTTCTTAAAAACTTTCTTAGTGAATAAGAACTTAGTGAAAATTATAAAATAGTTTCACCAAAACATAACGGCTTTTAAATCAATCAACCTCAATTCAGTTTCTCTTTTTTCTGTTCTACTTTATTCTTCCTGCTCCAAAAGAAAAAAAAGATTGCTGTGTAGATGGAAAAGAAGAGGTGGAGATCAAGGGCAGAACGGTGCCCTTGTCCTTGCTGGCGTTTAACTGGGTCCCAGGCAGCATGAGTACAGTACAGAGCAGCACTGGCCCATATTCCATATATAGAAGTCCTTGTTTCAAATCTGGTTGAAACTGGGTGAACTGGTTCGTGTGGCTGGGCAACCTCAGGTCCTTGGCCTTGATTTTCCAGCACAGTCCAGATCAATGCTTTCATCAGTTCAGTTCAGGGCAGATCATCTGAAAGCTTTGAGATAAATGAGTCTTTACACGTGTTTTTGATTAGATTAGTAGTGTGTGTGGAGGGTGACGGGGGGGGGGTGCTTGAGTGTCACATCATGCATGTGATCAAACTCCACCAGTTCCTCTTGATGCAATAACTTTGCTGCAGTGACAGAAGTTTTAACCTTGCATGACACGTGGACTGTGACACAGCTTTCTGGCATTCAACCAAGTCACCTTGCATGCAGAAGCTGAGCTGAGTGTGCGTGCGTGTGTATGTGTGTATGTGTGTGTGCGTGTGTGCGTGTGTGTGAGATTTTAGGGGAAAAAAAGATTGTTCAATTTAGTTTATTAATAATTCATTTTATTTGTTGCACCTTTCCAAACACTCAATGACCATTAAATAAAATGTATGAGTCACATGATCTCATGTTTAGGGTACAAGTTAAACTTGTGACTCAACATTTGGTCCAGTTTATAAGTTTGTGATCATTTTGGGTCAGTAACACCTTTAACCCTCTCACTGTCCTAATGGGTGTGACCCCGCGAGGAAAGCTGACCATTGAGCAAGGTTGATGGTTTTTCCCTTGGGTCCATGTGGCAGGGGCGAGGAGTGAGCACCACCTCACCCCTGCCACGTGGGCCTCAAAGGATAAACCATCAACCCTGCTCAATGGTCAGCTTTCCTTGCGAGGTCACCCTTAAAGACAGTGGGAGGGTTAAAGTCATTTCTACATTTTAAACGTTGCAGATTTTGTTACAGCTGTATTTGGACAAGTATTTATAAAGAATCCACTAAAGCCTGATAGTTTTATTTAATCCCTAACATCTTTTCTGTTTTGGGGAAAGCCTTTACGTTGTGATCGGTTGTGTTGTGATTGTGTGTTTCTCATCTTCAGCCTTGTTTACACTGCTGCTGACCACTAACTGACCACCTGTTCATTCTCTATACATGAATATGTGTATGAAGAGTATGTGGGGGGATTAAACATCAACCAGACTTTAAGCACCGCCCCTTTTCTTTTGTCTGCCAGTCCACAGTCCCACAGCCCACCTTCTCCATGCCAGTCACAGTGCCAGTATCCAATCAGAACGCAGCGGCGGCCCTCCAGTTCAGCAACAACCCCTCCGGTGCCCTGGTCACCACCACCTCCTTCGTCACCTCCACTCTCACAGATCCCCGCCTCCTGTCGCCACAGCAACCAGCTTTGCAGAGGAACACCGTGTCACCAGGGTTACCACAGCGACCAGCCAGCGCAGGTAACAGACCATGGGTAACGCAGCTGGAGTGCTTTGGGTTCTCCATCTCCTCACAGCTCAATCGTGGTGGTGTAAATCAATAATCTGTGGCCTTTACAGAGAAACAAACATCCTGCTTCAATAATTGCTCTGGATTGATTTGTTTAATGTATTGTTGCTGTTTTAGTTGCCGTTCTGCTCTCTTAAAGATCGTCTAATGAGCAGCAGCTGATGAGTTCTGGATTTATGAAAACAGCAAGTTTTTAATGTTTCCCCAAGGATTAAAAAAAAAACACAGAGACATTTAGATTTCATTCAGATTGTGAAATTTCACCTTTGGATTTTCACCGATTCACTCATTTCAAAGTTCTGTTGAGTTTTTGTATTAATGGAGATTAAAATATGTCAAATTTTCACATAATCTGTACATTAAAAATCTATTAGGCGGTGAGTTCATTATGTCCTGACCCAAATGGAGGAGTTTAGGCATCTCAGGGTCTTGTTCACAAGAGAGGGAAAGATGGATCAGGAGATTCATAGGCGGACTGTTGCCGATCTGTCGTGGTGAAGCTGAGTCAGAAGCAAATTTACCGGTAGATCTATGTTGCTACCTTCATCGTTAGTCACGAGCTTTGGGTAGTGACTGAAAGAATGAGATTGTGAATACAAGTAGGCGAAAAGAGTTTTCTCCACAGGCTGGCTGCGGTCTCGCTTAGAGATAGGGTAAGAAGCTCGGCCATCAGGGAGGGGCTTGGAGTAGATCAGCAGCTCCTCCACATTAAGAGGAGCCAGTTGAGGTGGCTCAGACATCTGGTCAGGATGCCTACCAGACACCTCCCTGGTGAGGTTTTCCCAGCACATTCAAATGTGAGGAGACCCAAAGGACACGATGGAGGGACTATGTTTCTCATTTGGCCAGAAAACACCTCGGAATTCCCCTGGAAGAATTGGGCCTCTCTGCTTAGGCTGCTGCCCCCACAACCTGGCTCAGATAAATGGAGGAAAATGGATGCATGGACCTCATTAGCTAAATTATTCCTCATTCCTCCATAAGTGTTGTCTTTTCCTCCACATTTTGTTGTCATTCATTCTTTTTTTAGTGGTTCGCTTTGACATTTTCCACCCAAAGCAGTCAGTTTGCTGACCACTTGTCCAAGCACGTTAAAGTCCTGATTCCTAAATGACACCTGTAATTGAAAATGATGTAAGCCACCTTTGCAGACACTGTCGTCATGGATACTAAAACACACCTTTTGTGACAGCACAGTTGATGTAACGGCATAGAGTTTGAGACTTTTATTGAGTCGACAAGTGTTAAAGTCTGTGTGAGTGTGTGTTGATGTTGTGTCTTGGTGTGCATGCTCTCTCAGACTGGGGATCTGGCTCAAATAAGTGCATACTGCTCATAATACCATAAACCCATCATTTCTTTGACTGCGGCTGCTGAGCTCCTGCATGTTCGCTGCTCTGTGTGGCAAACAGATCCTTCACCCTCTGACTAAAAGGATTTGTGCCCCATTTTTCTGTCTCTGACAAGGTTACTTATCAAGCTTTGTTCCGACCAGCGTAATCTCATTGTAAGTCAGAATTAGGTGATGTAACGTGCAACAAATGCATTACAGCTTCTTTCATAGCATGCCGTTCTCCGAGGCGGGTAAAGTCAACACGGCAGTAATGGATGCCCCCACTCCCCCCTCCATTCCCTCTTAACCTCACCAGTGTAGAAAATGATCCACCCTCCCATTTGTCTCTCATTAAGGGGGATGGTTCTGATTAATCATTGTGGCTTATTGATGTTATTCCCACGTGTTGGTATTTCCAGGGAACCCCAACGACCCACAGTTTCAGCATTTGTGAAGAATAGCTTAGAAATAAAATGAGATCATCCACAAATGTAGAAAACGTGTCGGTGTATTTAAAGTAACAGTAATGCTTCCTAAAATCAAAATATCACTGAAAACAGTGCATTAGTGTAAAATGACAGTTTGATGCATCAAATCTTAGTGACGTTGTGGTTTTAGCAGATGTTAGGATCAGGACGTGCTGTCTAAAGGTCTGGTGGCCATGGTGAGTTTAGGAGCAGTTTTTCCACTGGAAAGCTTTTAAGTATTTAAGCAGAAAAATAAAATAAAAGGAAAGTGATTCAGAACTATATGTATTTTTAAAAAGTGCTGGAACAAGTTGCACTCAGGTCAGATTGGAAATGAAGACATCTCAGTGGTAATCACTGAGATTCTACTTAGAAAACAAGCAACCATAATGAAGAAGAGCTGCTTGGACTGTTTCTGTAAATAATATTATGTTAACTTGATGATTATCTTCAGCTTTGTTTTGTTAATGTGACTTCATTTATTTGAATTTTTGACCGTAGTGAAATGTTAGCATCACTAGCCACTGCTAGCATAAGGCAGCTAATGCTATGAGTGTTAATAAGACATAGATAAATGTGTAGAGGTGGTGGTTGTGATTCATTTATTTTTCTCTGCTTATCCGAAGTTGGGTCGCAGGGGCAGTTGCCTAAGCAGGGAGGCCCAGACTTCCCTTACCTTAGCCACTTAGGCCAGCTCTTCCAGGGGAATCACAAGGCGTTCCCTGGCCAACCAAGAAACATAGTCCCTCCAGCATGTCTGGGTCTTCCTTTGGGTCTCCTCCCAGTTGAATGTGCCCTGAGAACCTCACCAGGGTGGCATCCAGGAGGCATCCAGACCAGATGCCCACACCACCTCAACTGGCTCCTCTTGATGTGGAGGAGCAGCGGGTCTACTTCAAGCCCCTCCTGGATGATTTAGCTTCTCTAAGGGAGAGCCCAGCCACCCTCTGGAGGAAACTTATTATGGCCGCTTGTATCCTTGATCTCATTCTTTCGTTCACCACCCAAAGCCCGCGACCATAGATGAGGGTAGGAACGTAGATTGACCAGTAATTCCGGCTCAGCTCTCTCTTCACCACGACAGATCGCCCGCACCACTGCAGACGCAGCACCAATCCACCTTTCGATTTCACGCTCCATCTTTCCCTCACTCGTGAACAAGACCCCAAGATATAAAAGCTCCTCCACTTGGAGCAGGACCTCGTCCCTGACCTGGAGAAGGCATTCTACCCTTTTGCGACCCATGACCATGGTCTCAGATTTACAGAAGCTGATTCTCATTCCAGCTGCTTCACACTCGGCTGTGAATTTAAAAAGCTTCAAGATCACCATTCTCTAGTCCAAGGAAACATCTGATGAACGTTTACGTGATAACGTTCCGATTAATCGCTCTTTTTAGAAACAACTCGATCAGATTTCATTGCAACAATATTGTTTTGAATTTTTGTCAAATGGAAAGAAAATGTGGTAAATACATTTGCACATTTATAATAATAAAAAGGGTACTTCAGCTGAAAATTAGAATAAATGCATCATTACTTACCAACTGATTAGTAGCATCTACTACTACTAACTAGCACTAACAAGGCTTTCTTCAGTTCTCCCCAGCAGAGTCAGTGGTGTCATTAATAAACCCCAATTCTAAAGTCATTTTTATAATAAGTAAATAGTCAGTACAGTTTTTTTTATTTGTTATTTTTTATAAATTTAACTAAAATATAATATCATATGTTTGCTAGGAAAAGAGAGAATATGTTATTAACAACTCATTTTGAATACTTTAAAATGTCCTTAAACAAGTGAGAGTTCAGCGGTCGTGGTGTAATAGAAGTACCATTGAGAACCGATAAAACCTGCACTTAGACATTAATACAGAACTCTAGTTAATTAAGGCACTTCAAAACATGAATGAGTGTTGATAGTGGAAGCACTTTTTTAATGATGAACTTCATTTCATGATAGTTTTCACTACGGATGTTCAGTTTTTAATGGGTTTTAATTCTTTTTTTCTTTCGAAGGTGCTCTGTTGGGAGGAGATTTGGGGAACTCAAATGGAGCGTGCCCGAGTCCAGTCCGTAAGTCCATCTGTTATGGTACAAATACATCCACACATGTCAGCAATATAAATCAGGAATTTTAGAAGGGATTTGAATTAAAAAACACACTTTCTTTCTCTAAATGATCTGTAGAAAACATCTACGTGTGGCAACAGACTCACAGTTGTGCAGCCAGACACGTGCACAAGCACACACACACACACACACACACACACACACACACCTGTTGGCTGACGACAGCTGAAGGTCACAGAACAAGCTGCTTGTAAACAGGCCAATGAACAGAACGGGTTTCGGGTGCAAGAGGAGGAACGCAGCCCGGAGATCAAAAAATAAACTTAACAGAAGAGCTTGTGTAAAACTCCTCTGCTGGTTTTCTGTCTGGTTCTTTTAGAGCTGCAGCTTCTAAACTTACATTCAGGAAGTTCTGGAACAGATGATGTCACCGATCCATTCTTAAATCGAGTTCATTTATGCAAGACATCCCTTCAACAGCGGATTTGTTGTTTCTGGCATTATTTATTTCTACATTTGTTTGTTTCTCTAAAGCAGCCAAGTTGAAGAGTTTTTACACAACAAATCTCACTCAGGTTTTTATTCGATGGTTCTGTGATTGTTTAAGGAAAACTAGTTTGTAAAAAACAAACAAATTCTGCCAGAGAAATGTTTTTATATTAGATTTTATGTTATAAATTTAACTTTTATCTCTTATGTCTAAAATAATTCCTGGTTGGGTCGTACCAAAGACAGTGAGACCCAATGCCTCCCTGCTTGACAATCAGCTTTAAGGGATTGGATTGGGGGGGTTGAACCACCAAATAGATCCCGAGCGCTGCCACCGCTGCAGCCTACTGCTCCCCTCCATGGGGATGGGTCAGATGCGGAGATGAATTTCACCAGAGTGTGATGATGACTATGGGACTTTAAATAAATAACTAATCTGTGGTGTTTTGTGCAGCATGAAGAGATGTGTATATGTAAATAAATGATCTCACATTAGGTCTAATAAGCCATTCTACTGAAAAAGTAATTGCATCTTAAAATCGAGACCATCTTTTTTCTTTAAACTGAAGATTCAGTTTCATCAGCTATCATAACTTCCCTAAACAAAATAATGGACCCAATATGGGACATCCTGAGATCATTCTACCCACCTATCTTCCCTTCGACTGCCCTACACCTCCCCCTCTCTCCGTCGCTCTCAGCTGTTCACCCTCGTCTTCTCTCTGGAATAATCTTCCACCCCACCCCTCTCCCCGCCTCCCACCATCCAACTGTCCCTTGTCTTGGCACCAGACTCTTCTCAGAGGTGACTTTGACGCTGGCCAGAGCTCTCCCCTCAAATCCCATTAGCTGGGACAGATACTGTCAGCTAGCCCAAAGTAATAGATATGGTGGGAAGCTAATCTTTTTTTTCCCCCTATATTCACTTGATAAGTAGCACATGTGTCAGTGAGCTAAGGGGAATCGATATGTTTATATTTGATTCTGTAAGTGTTTAAGTCAAAAACACCTAAGCTCGGTTTTTGGGACTATATATGATGAAGTTTTTGTGGTTAGCTTAACGAGAAAGAGTAGGACAGGTCATCCATTACCTCATAACTCGTCCAAAAACTGCACTTCTCTCTCTCTCTCTCTCTCTCTCTCTCTCTCTCTCTCTCTCTCTCTCTCTCTCTCTCTCTCTCTCTCTCTCTCTCTCTCTCTCTCTCTCTCTCTCTCTCTCTCTCTCTCTCTCTCTCTCTCTCTCTCTCTCTCTCCCCCCCCCTCCCCCCTGCCTCTTTTCATGGAATCAGTTCAACTTTGAACTCTTTCATTTGATCTTTTTTCTTTCGCATCCCCTCTGTGCCCTATTTTACCCTGTGTGTATTTATTTCACTCCACTTACTCATTCCTTCACTCCCTCTCTTTTCACTCCTCTTCCTTTACTCCTTTATTTCCTGTTTTCTCCACACTCTGCTCCCCTCACCTCTTCCTCACCCTTCTTTACCTTCTCCCCACTCTCCTCTTCTCTTGGATCTGCCGCTCTCAGCTGTTGTCCAGGGGAGTCAGAGCTCCAGGAATGTCACCATTGACGTCACCCGGCATTCCACACATTCCCACGCCCGGCCTCGCGTAATTGGAGACATGACACACACATGCTCACTTGCGCCGAGTGTGCGGACACACATGCACCCCTTGTGCTGAGAGGAACACATGTTAAGGATGGAAGGAAATTCATTCTAACAAGCGATTTACTCCAATAAAGACACAACTGCTCACAAAATCACACCGTTACTATCTCAACATTAGGCTAAATAATATGTTTGTGATATAAGTTCCAATAACAAAAACTTATTTTATTAGTCTAAATGGGTATTTCTGTTTGATCGCCTGTAGTTGTTGCATAAAAAAGCAGATTTAAGACAGGCTGAGAAGAAAAGGTGGAGAAAACGCATCACGAGTCACTGGTTCAGTTCATAACAGAGATGTTGCAGTAAAGTGGCATCTGCTGTAACCATGTGGGTACCACAGATACCACTGGTACCATCTGTCGGCACTGAAAATTGTCCTTTTTTTGTTCCATTAGCATTCAGCTTTCTGCCTGACTGTCAGTTCTGACTGATTTTGAGGCTCGTGGAGCTGAAAACAGTCAGGCGTGGGGATGTTAGTCACATCTAACCGTTTAGCTCTGCAGAACATGAAGTATGCAAACTATCTGGATGAATGTGGATGACTAGAATATTCCACAGGGTGCATTTGTTTAGGGTTACACCTGCTGCCCGCTCACACTCAGACTGGGAGAGTCAGTTGTAGAATGAGATGTTTTCTGTTTGACTGGAACGTTTTACATAGTTAGGCATCACCAAACACCTCGTAAGGTCAGTGTTTCCAGATGTTACGTCGAAAAACAAACTTGTATTCCACAACTCCCCTGCCACCCCCAACCCACAAAGATGCCCGTGATGTAACAATCAACCATTTTCTGTCCGGCATCAACATAGATGTGTGTCAGCACACTTATTGCAACATGCACACACACACACACACACACACACACACACACACACACACACACACACACACACACACACACACACACACACACACACACACACACACTGAGGTTGTAGGATCTCATATGTGACCTCATTGGCTGACTAGGAAACCGGATCATTTTCAGCATCTTCCTTCAGTCTCCTCTCCTCTCTAGTGTTGTTTACGTTCTTCCTTCCCTGATTATTCTCATATCTTTGTTTTTCTCTACAATCCATTTTTTCTAATTTCATGCTGTTTTTTACTTTTGTCCTCTTCTCTTTCCCATCTTTTCTTCCTTTTTTCTTTTCTTTCCATTGTGCCCTTTTCCTACATGTGCCTACCTGCTTCTTTCTTTCTTTCTTTCTTTCTTTCTTTCTTTCTTTCTTTCTCTCTTTCTTTCTCTCTTTCTTTATCTCTGACTTTTTCCCCATCGTATACTTTGTGCATTCATCCCTTGCTCTTTTCACACTTGAGAAAGAATTCATATTTATTTGCTTCCTCGTGACTATTTACACATTTTATCTTTAGCTGTTTTTTTCTCTTGTGTCATTTGTTCTTCCTTTAGTATTACACCCTTTACCATGTTGTCCTGTATTGTTCCTGTTTTACTTTTTGCGTTGTCTTGCCCTTTCATTTTTAGCTTTACTTTTCTTTCTGCTACTTTTTCACCACTTTCCTCATTGTTTTGTGATTTCTGTTTTTTTGGTTTTTATTGTAATTTAAAAATGTTTTTTCCTTCATAACTTTTTTCTCAATGCAAACGTCTTCTTATTTAAACTATACACTGTAAAAAGGAAAAGTTGATCCAACTTAAAAAATTGCTTCAATTGGTAACAAGCAATTTAATTAAGTTAATCCAACTCAGATTATTAGTACAATTTTAATAACTTAGGTTGGATAAACTACAATTTTAATAATTTAGGTTGGATAAACTTAATTAAATTGCTTGTTACAAATTGAAGCAATTCAATTAGGTTGATTAAACTATTCTTTTTTTCAGTGTAATTCATATGTTCTCTGTGAAATGTGGTAGTGGATGAAGATAAAACCTGGAGCTTCAGTAAATGCAGCATGTGGCTTAATGCTTTTCTCCTTTCTGATGTTTCATGTAGAAAACAACTTTATGCCTTTAATCACTTCACCCAGACACTTCTCGTTCCGTTCTGTTCCTTTTCTCCCTTTACTAACTCTAACCCTTTACTCCCTCTGTGTTTTTCCCCTTATCGGCCCTTCCTTCCTGTCAGCTGATAACAGAGGTAGCGTTGGCTTGTTTTTGTTGTTGTTGTTGTCAGGTTGCATTTACCGACTTTGCGTGTGTAACTGAGATGAAGCGGAGTCACATGCCTCGGTCGATTGAGGGCAGCATCATGGAGGATTGCTATCTTCTATCACACACCCTCCTCTCCCGTCCATGGGGAATACCACATATGCCTGTGTGTGTGTGTCAGTTCTGGGAAAGTCCCCGCTGTCCCATTTTATTATTTTTTAGCTGTGATTCTGCCTGTATTTAAGTCTACATGTTCAACCTCAGCAGCAATGATAGGCCGCTGACTGCTGGAGTCTCGTCATGACACCCACCTGACCACTATCACTTCCTCACAGCTCATTTAAAATCATCAAAACACACTAATTCAATGTTTTATGCAACTTATTGGATAAACGTTATATTTTAAATGTAGAAAATGCATTAATATGTAAAACAAGAAGCTGCTAAAATCATTTCACATGGAAACGTTTTATTGTGTGTTAGTGTTCAGCAGCTGTGTTGTTGTGTAGAGGATTGGAATGTGACAGTTGTGCACTTTCAAAATTCGATTCAATTCAATTCAAGTTCATTTATAAAGCGCCAAATCATGGCAAATCAAGGCACATCACATAGTAAACATTCCAGTACAGGTCAGTTTATTAAGCCAATCAGTAAAATGTTTCCTATATAAGGAACTCAGCAAATTGCTCAAGTCACTCACTAGTGCCGGTGACTTTACAGCAATCCTCATACTAAGCACGCATTTAGCGACAGTGGAGAGGAAAACTCCCTTTTAACAGGAAGAAACCTCCAGAGGATCCTGGCTCAGTATAAGCAGCCATCCTCCACGACTCACTGGGGATCGAGAAGACAGAGCAGACACACACACATCCACACATCCACACACACAACATATATACCAAGTAGTGTTTCTATGGTTAGATTGTGATTTCTTAGTAAATATTCTATTTGGTGAGAGATGAACTTTATTGTATTTATCCTAGTGAATCTATAATTAAACGGGTAAACTAGCAGTAGCACATTCAATGTCAAAGAAAGTAAAACATTTTTTCAGGAGAGGGAGAATGTTTAAGTGGTTAGCAACAGTGTTCAAGCTGATGGCCCCCTCCATGAGGCCACCACAGCTCAGCAGAACATCATTGTAGCTTCTTCTGGGGAGAAAAACACTTAGAGAAAAAATAAAGTTAACAGCTGAAATAGCAGGAAATCATACAGTTAAAGAGCAGATTGTAGAAGAAAGTAGTAGAGTCTGGAAAGTGGTCAGTGTATCCTCCAGCAGTCTAAGCTTATAGCAGCATAACTACAGAGATAACTGGATAACCTAGCTCTTTAGATGGAGGCATGTTGGAGGCACGGCAAGGGAGAGCCGTCTTTACCGACTGTACACTCCACCTCCCTCTACTCCCCCACTTGTCCAGATCTGGGCTAACATCAGATTTTAACCATAGGCCCTATCAAATAAAAATGTTTTAAGCCTTTTCTTAAAAGTAGACAAGGTGTCTGCCTCACAGACCAAAGCTGGGAGTTGGTTCCACAGGAGAGGAGCCTGATAGCTAAAAGATCTGCCTCCCATCCTATTTTTATATATTCTGGGAACCACCAGTATACCTGCAGTCTGAGAGCGAAGTGCTCGTTTAGGAATGTATGGAACAATCAGGTCACTGATGTATGATGGAGCTTGATTATTAAGAGCTTTATATGTGAGAAGAAGGATCTTAAAATCTATTCTGAATTTAACAGGTAGCCAATGTAGGGAAGCTAAGACAGGAGAGATATGATCTCTCTTTTTAATTCTCATCAGAACTCCTGCTGCAGCATTTTGGACAAGCTGAAGACTTTTAACTACATTCTGTGGTCTTCCTGAGAGTAATGAATTACAGTAATCCAGTCTTGATGTAATAAATGCATGAACTAGTTTTTCAGCATCATTCCTGGAAAGGATGCTTATAATCTTAGCAATATTCCGAAGGTGGAAAAAGCAAATCCTACAAACCTGTTTAACGTGGAATTTGAATGACATTTCTTGGTCAAACATAACACCAAGGTTCCTTTCCTTTTCTGAATTTCAGGTCCAAAGATGAGAACATCAGTTTTGTCTTGATTTAAAAGCAGAAAGTTGTGAGCCATCCAATTTATTATGCCTTCAAGACAAGCCTGTAATCTAACTAACTGATTGGGTTCATCAGGGTTAATGCATAGATATAACTGAGTATCGTCAGCATAACAGTGCAAGTTTATCCCATGCTGTGTAATGATTTTACCAATTGAAAGCATATATATAGTAAAAAGAATTGTTCCAAGCACTGAACCCTGCGGTACTCCACAAGTAATCCTGGAGTAAGAAGATTTGTCATGTACATTTACAAAAATATATCATCAGACAGGTAGGATTTAAACCAGCCTAGCGCTGTTCCTTTGATCCCTACAACATTTTCAAGCCTTTCTAAAAGAACATTGTGATCAACTGTGTCAAAAGCAGCACTGAGATCTAACAAGACTAGAACAGACACAAGATTCTTATCTAAGGCCATGAGAATATCATTTGTAACTTTCATTAATGCAGTTTCGGTGTTGTGATACACTCTAAAACCAGACTGAAATTCCTCAAACAGATCATTAATGTTTAAATGCTCACATACTTGGTTGGCCATTATTTTCTCAAGGAATTTGGATAAAAATGGAAGGTTAGAAATTGGTCTATAATTCATTGGGTCATCTGGATCCAGAGAAGGTTTCTTAAGTAAATGTTTGATTACAGCAACCTTAAAATCCTGTGGTACGAATCCATTTCTAAGGATAGATTGATTATATCTAGAATGGGGAGCAGTAACCAAAAGAAATGCATCTTTAAATAATTTGGTTGGGATTGGATCTAAAATGAGAGTTGAAGGTTTAGATGAAGCTAATATTTTTGATAACTCTGAAAGCTCAATTGGATCAAAGTAGTTCAAACACAGATGAGGTTCTACAGTTACCTCTGATGCTGCCTCACTGAGGAAGAAGAAATTGCATTAGGGATGATGCAAATGATTTTGTTTCCAATAGAATACATTTTACTCATGAAAATCCCATAAAGTCGTTGTTGTTGAGGGCTAAGGGAGTAGATGGTTCAGAGCTATGTTTCTGTGTAAGTTTGGCAACTGTACTGAAAAGAAATTTTGGAATATTCTTACTCTCCTCAATTTTTCAATGAAAAATAAGCAGTTCTAGCTTGTCAAAGCATATTTTTATAAAGCACAAGACTATTTTTCCAGGATAAGTAGGACTAGAGTGCCGTGTTCTCTCCAGTTTTCTAGAGTTTTGTTTTAAAGTTCGTAAATGAGAATTAAACCAGGGAGCCAAATTCCTGTGCTTAATTTCCTTCTTTTGTAAAGGAGCAACATCATCTAATGCCACACGTAATGGAGTAGCATTATGAACTTAAAAGAGGGTATGTGAACCGGTAAAGCTCTGTAATGTGGCCCGTCGTGTTGCTGGAACGTCCCTATTAAACAGACAGGACTCAACTGTTAAGTGGATTAAAGGACTATAAGATTTTTCTTCTATTCCACATCTTTTCTTGTTGTGGACAACCCTCTGTAAAAGAATTAAATCAACACTAATCATACTTCAGCTTAATTTATTCATCAGTGGCTGTGAATTTGCTTTAATTAGACTTGCTGCAAAGACCAAACATGTTTTCTTGGATTTAGGGTGTCTAAAATCCAGAATGCACAGATAAAATTGAGGTATTAGATATTAAAAATGATAAAACATGGAACGTTGTAGAATTTGTTTATTATCTAGATGTGATTTAAAGTTGAACGGTGGAACTTCTGGCAACAAATAAAAGAAAAAAATAATTCTGAAGCTGCAGCTTCTGGAAACATCGCCATCATACGACACACGTATAAATGAAAACAGATTATGCACACTACACTATACATGTGTTATATTAATACAATAGTTTTATATAGACAGCTTATTTTGCAGAAACACTTTATTCTTTTCATCTACATACAGATTTTAAGCCCTTTCTAATAAAGTTTTGATTGTTCAATTCAATTGAAACACTTTTTACCCAAATTTTGTTTAATTATATATATATATATATATATATATATATATATATATATATATAAAGTAGAAAATAATAGTCAATAATAAAACAGTAACTTACAAGTGTTTATGCTGCAGAAGGTGTAAACTTTATTTATTAAAAAAATATGTTAAACTGGGAAAAACATTCACATTGTGACAATTTCTAGTATTTGATCCTCTAATAGGTGTTAAATGTGAGGTAACAGGTGATTACTCTGTATTGTGAGGTTGTTTTACAATTTCACTCCTTCCACAGCTTAATGACACTGAAACTGACTTGTTAAGATAAATATTTTTCACTGTTCAAGATGGAAAGAGCCCAGAGACATTTAGGTGTTTTTGTTTACACCGCGCCGAGACGAGTGAAACAAAAGAGAAGAGAGAGGTAGGGAGACGGCGAGAGCGGGAGTAAAATAGTTCAGGAGAGAGCGTGGCTCGGTTTTGATGTGGGGGAGCTGTAGAGAATATAAGAACGCCACGCCGCCAAAAGATAAAAAGGCAAATGAAAACATTGTTTGAGCTGCCGAGACGACGAGGAGCGTGTTGTGTGTCTAAAGGGATCCAAGTCGCTAATGAGAACACACAAACTCAAAGGCAAAAGCAGACAAGCGCTGTTCACAGGTAGTCACTGAGAACATCAGAACAGACGGGAACACAAGCCTCCTCCTCACCTGCCTCTTCACTAAACCTCACTCTTCATTTGTCTCTCTCCAGCTAACGGCTACATCAGTGCCAGGGCCTCTCCGGGCCTCCTGTCCGTATCCAATGGCAACAGCCTGGGGAAAGTAGTCCCGGCTAAGTCTCCACCTCCACCTAGCCCTCAGATGGTCAACAGCCGCAAGCCCGACCTGAGGGTCATCACCTCGCAGAGTGGCAAGAGCCTAATGCAGCTGGTGAGCAGATGGACAATAACTGTGGATACAAAACTTTCATTTTCCCCTTATCTTCTGTTTTTTATGAGAAAAAAACTAAAATAACTGCTCAGTGTCATGCAAATCATCATGTTTTATACATTATTTTAATTCTATTCTTATTTTTACATCCGGTGCAAAATCTGAGACCGAATCCTAAAAATCATCAGTTGTGATTAAAAATCCCTGAGTGTTGCATAATCACCAACCCGCCTTTGATGGAGTTTTTAATCAATAAGAAGAATGCAGCAAACAGACGGAAGTGATCAGAAATTTAACGTGCTCTGCTTCTTTCGCTCCCTCCTCTTCCACCGCCCGAGCAGACGGAGGAAGAGCTGGAGTTGGTGAGTGAGGTGAATAGATTTTTAGAGTTTCAGCCTCGTGGATGTGGTGTCAAACCCTGTGTGATCTCACTGAGCATGAGTGTGACGCTGTCAGCAACTGCATCCCATCAGCATTAACACAGCTATAGGGTTATGAGAGAAATCCACGGGAGCAACGAGTCAGCTTTTAAACGGGAAAAAGTTCATCTGGTTGCTTCTGTTCATGGAAGACTGAGGTTTTATTGGTTGTGCAGGTGAGACTCTAGCTGATAAAATATATTACGGACTTAAGAAATAAAAATTGGTTTGTGCTTTAAATGAGTGGAGTTATGTCCCGTTTAAAGCTAACTTTGTTTAAAATGATTTAATGTGCAGAGAATGCCTTCTAGACAGAATCACAGCCATTCAAGTTGTCATCAGACATCTTTTTTTTTTTCAAATAGTGGGCCTCAAACTCGATGCTGAGGACCAGTACCAGTCTGTAGATTATTTGGTATCAGGGCACCTTGTTTTAAAGGGGACATATTATAACTATTCTTAAGTTATATTAGTCCTGTGGTTGATACAAAACATGTTTATGAAGTTTTTTGCTCTAAATCCCTCTCACAAAAACCAATCTCGGTGGTTTCATTTTTGATATTTTCAGTACTCTCCAAAATGAGCCATTTCAGTGCTCTGTCACTTTGAGGAAACAACCTGTAGCTGGCCACTCCCACCCATCCCCCACTCAGGTTGCTGTAAGCTAAGAAGCTCAGATATCCATATGGGACGCAGGCTAGACCTGCTGCTCCTCCACCAGCAGCTCTCTTGCATGTGGGATAATCTGAGATTACTTCTGTAATGTAAAGCGCAGTATAAATAAAATGTATTATTATTATTATTGGGGTGGTTCCATTCTAATTTCCCTGTTTGTGACATCACAAACTTTTTAAAACAGCTTGTGTTAGGCTTCTAATTCCTAAAACCAAACCTTATTGACAGGAAAGTGATGGACGGATATTTTTCCACGTTTTGAGTGCTTATAGAGGCGGAAACCCACATGGCAGCACAAAAGAATGCAAAAAAGGAGTTTTGCATGAAACAAATACCAAAATCGTTGAAATGATATTTGATTATTACATTTTTGATGAGAGGATTGCTACCATCAACTTTCATTGTCTCTATTAATGCACATCAATAGCAGTATCTGTAGGACTTTGACTTTACATTAAAACATAATGTGATAATAAATTACATGCATGTTTTTGTTAAAAATAAAACCATAAAGGTTATTTATTTATTTATTTATTTATTTATTTATTTATTTATTTATTTATTTATTTATTTTGTCTAAAATGTCTGAAAACAGTCCAAAGAAACTAACTGGAATCTCATTAAAATTCTAAAACTGAATCAATGATGGAAACTGTACTGAGTTCTCCTCCAACAGATGACATTAAAACAAAAAGCATGGATGAAAACGGTTAGCATGCTGTTTACTGCTGAGTGAACCTGGTTGTTCTTATTAACAGCCATGTTAATCAAACTAAGTATTCCTGCCTTTGAAGGCTAATCTCATCTTAATGATGTAATTATATTCAGACGGACGAACCAGCACTTTGATTATAAAGACTGACATTAGCTAATAACATCAAATAGGTTTGGAGAAAAAAATAACTGACACAATATTAGCATAAGAGAACTCATTTTTGCAGCTAGCTGTTTACTTTTAATAACCACATCAAATGTCTGCAGCCAGAACACTGTCTGTATTTTATATTGGTATTGCTAAATTTAATACCATTATTGTAATCAAATTTTCCTAATATTTTGCAACTAATTCTGACAAAGAAAAAAGCAATTTATTATATTTTTTTTTCGTTGAGGGTGGTAAGGTGAGGGATCAGACAAAGAGCAGCCTGAAGACCTCTTATGAAGAATTATATAAATAAATGGAAACCGTGTTCCCTCGCCCAGACGTGGGTCTCCGGGGACCCCCTCTGGAGCCAGGCCTGGAGGTGGGGAACGTTGGCGAGCGCCTGGTGGCCGGGCTTTCACCCATGGAGCCCGGCTGGGCACAGCCCGAAGAGGAAACGTGGGCCCTCCTTCCCATGGGCTCACCACTCGTGGGAGGGGCCAAAAGGGTTGGGTGCAGTGTGTGACGGGTGGTAGTCGAGGGCAGGGACCTTGGCGGTCTGATCCTCGGCTACAGAAGCTGGCTCTTGGCACATGGAATGTCACCTCTCTGGTGGGGAAGGAGCCTGAGTTGGTGTGTGAGGTTGAGAGGTTCCGACTAGATATAGTCGGACTCACCTCAATGCATGGCTCTGGCTCTGGAACCAGTTTCCTTGAGAGGGGTTGGACTTTCTACCACTCTGGAGTTGCTCCCACTGAGAGGCGCCGAGCAGGGGTGGGCACACTAGTTGCCCCCATCTTGGTTCCTGTACGTTGGGGTTTACCCCAGTGAATGAGAGGGTAGCCTCCCGCCGCCTACGTGTGGGGGGACGTGTTCTGACTGTGGTCTGTGCTTATGCACCAAACTACAGTTCAGACTACCCACCCTTTTTGGAGACCTTGGAGGGGGTGCTGGAAAGCGCTCCTTCCGGTGACTCCCTCGTTCTGGTGGGGGACTTTAACGCTCACGTGGGCAACAGTAGTGAGACCTGGAGAGGTGTAGTTGGGAGGAAAGGCCCCCCCTGATCTGAATTTGAGTGGTGGTTTGTTATTGGACTTCTGTGCCAGTTATGTATTGTCCATAATAAACACCATGTTCAGACATAAAGGTGTCCATATATGCTCTTGGCACCAGGACACCTTAGGCCGCAGCTCGATGATCAACTTGTGGCCGCATGTCTTAGACACCCAGGTGAAGAGAGGGGCGGAGCTGTCAACTGACCACTACCTGGTGGTGAGTTGGCTCAGATGGTGGGGGAGGATGCCGGTCAGACCAGGCAGGCCCAAACGTATTGCGAGGGTCTGCTGGGAACATCTGGCTGTCTCCTGTCAGAAGGAGCTTCAATTCCCACCTCCGACAGAGCTTCCAAAATGTTCTGGGAGAGGAAGGGGACATTAAATCTGAATGGACCCTGTTCCGTGCCTCCATTGTTGAGGCGGCCGACCGGAGCTGTGGTCGCAGGATTGTCTGTGCCTATCGTGGTGGCAACCCCCGAACCCGCTGGTGGATACCGGTGGCTAGGGATGCTGTCAAACTGAAGAAAGAGTCCTGTCAGGTCTTTTTGCCCTGTGGGACTCCAAAGGCAGCTGACGGATACAGGCAGTCCAAGCGAAACGCATCTCGGGTGGTCGCCAAGGCAAAAACCCGGGCATGGGAGGAGTTCGATGAGACCATGGAGCAAGACTTCCGTACGGCTTCGAAGAGATTCTGGTCCACCATCCGGCACCTCAGGGGGGGAAAGCAGTGCGCTACCAACACTATCTATAGTGGGGACGGTGTGCTGCTGACCTCTACTCAGGACTTTGTGGATCGGTGGGCAGAATACTTCGAAGACCTCCTCAATCCCACTGACACGTCTTCCAGTGAGGAAGCAGAGTCTGGGCACTTTGGGTTGGCCTCTCTGAGGTCACTGAGGTGGTTAAAAAGGTCCTCTGTTGCAAGGCTCCAGGGGTGGATGAGATCCGCCTGGAGTTCCTTAGGGCTCTGGATGTTGTGGGGCTGTGTTGGCTGACGTGGCTCTGCAATATTGCGTGGACATCGGGGGCAGTCCCACTAAAATGGCAGACTGGGGTGGTGGTCCCCTTATTTGAAAAGGGGGACTGCAGGGTGTGTTCCAACTACAGGGAGATCACACTCCTGAGCCCTCCTGGTTAGGTCTATTCAGGGGTTCTGAAGAGGAGGGTCCGTTGGATTGTTGAACCTCCAATTCAGGAGTAATGTGGTTTTCGTCCCGGCCGTGGAACACTGGACCAGCTCTATACCCTTAGGAGGATCCTGGAGGGTGCGTGGGAATTTGCCCAACCAGTCTACATGTGTTTTGTGGATTTGGAAAAGGCGTTTGACCGCTTCCCTCGAGGGGCCCTGCGGGGGGGTACTCTGGGAGTATGGGGTACCAGGCCCTCTGATACGGGCTGTTAGGTCCCTGTATGACTGGTGTCAGAGCTTAGTCCGCATTGCCAGCAGTAAGTTGGGCTCGTTCCCAGTGAGAGTTGGACCCCGCCAAGGCTACCCTTTGTCACTGATTCTGTTCATAACCTTTATAGACAGGATTTCTAGGCGCAGCCAACATGTGGAGGGCATCCGTTTTGGTGGCCTGAGGATCAGGTCTCTGCTTTTTGCAGATGATGTGGTCCTGTTGGCTTCATCAGAATGTGATCTTCAGCTTTCGCTGGAGCGGTTCGCAGCAGTGTGAAGCAGCTGGGATGAGAATCAGCTCCTCTAAATCTGAGACCATGGTCTTGATTCGGAAAAGGGTAGAATGCCTTCTCCGGGTCAGGGATGAGGTCCTGCCCCAAGTGGAGGAGTTTATGTACCTCGGGGTCTTGTTCATGAGTGAGGGAAAACTGGAGCGTGAGATCGATAGGCAGATTGGTGCTGCATCTGCAGTGATGCGGGCGTTGTACCGGTCTGTCGTGGTGAAGAGAGAGCTGAGTCAGAAGGCTAAGCTCTCGATTTACCAGTTATACCCTCACCTATGGTCATGAGGATTGGGTAGTGACCGAAAGAACAAGATCGCGGATACAAACGGCCAAAATGAGTTTTCTCCGAAGAGTGGCTGGGTTCTCCCTTAGAGATAGGGTGAGAAGCTCGGTCATTCGGAAGGGGCTTGGAGTAGACCCGCTGCTCTTCCACATCGAGAGGAGCCAGTTGAGGTGGCTCGGGCATCTGGTCAGGATGCCTCCTGGACTCCTCCCTGGTGAGGTTTTCTGGGCACGTCCAACCGGGAGGAGACCTAAAGGTAGACCCAGGACACGGTGGAGGGACTATGTCTCTCACCTGGCCAGGGAACACCTTGGGATTCCCCCGGAGAAGCTGGCCCAAGTGGCTGGGGAGAGGGATGTCTGGGCCTCTCGCCTTAGGTTACTGCCCCCGTGACCCGACTCCGGATAATTGGATGAAAATGGATGGATGGATGGTGGTAAGCGTTAAGATCATACTAATGTAATGAATAATATTAATTAAAATAAAAACAAAAATGTAAATCTAAAATGACCTTTTAATTTGTTTACAATCATTCTCTTATTTTTTATTTAATTTGTGTGTGTGTGTGTGTGTGTGTGTGTGTGTGTGTGTGTGTGTGTGTGTGTGTGTGTGTGTGTGTGTTATTGAGTAAGCTATTGGAACTAAAAATTAACCTCAAAGGGTTAACACATTTTCATAGTGACTTAAAGGGGGGCATATTATGAAAAACTCACCTTCTGCATCCATCTTTGCTGCCCATGTGCATCTCTTTTGTCTCTATAAGCACTCCAAATGTTTAAAAAAAGCCACCTGTGTTTGGTTTTTTGGAAGTTATATGCCTAAAAGATGAGTTTGTGATGTCACATTAGAAAAAATAACGCTTCCTGCTTGTAAGAGAGAGCTACTGCTTTTGGAGAAAGAAAATATTTTATATAGCACCTCTCAAGATAAAAATCACGAGGTGCTTCACAAGAACAAAAAATTCAAAATATAAGAAAGAAAATTTTTTTAGTTATTAAAAATATGGTTAAGATGAGAAAAAAATGTGATCAAAAATGTAAGGAAAGGAAAAGAGGGAAATCAGTGAATCTCAGGAAAGGCGGAGTTGGAAGAAAGAACAGAATAAGGAGAGGGAAGTGATGAAGGACATGCAAAAACTAGCTTGAACAAGTGAGTTTTCAGCTGTTTTTTTTACGGAGACCTCTGAGTCCAGATCTCAAGCTCAGAGGGAGAGTTCCAGAGTCTGGTGGCCACAACAGCAAATGATCTGTCATCTTTGGTCTTTAAAAGCAGTGCTTCTACTCTGAGCTCTGCCCAGATATCAGAGCTTCTCAGCTTATAGCAGCCTGAGTGGGAGATAGGTGGACGTGGCCAGTTCCAGCTTGTTTTCTTAAAGTGAGAGCACCCCAAAACCGCTCAATCTGTAAGGTACTGAAAATTTCAAAAATAAACGCCTGAAAATACTTTGTGAGAAGTCTTTTGTAAGTTTGTTCTGTGTGTTTCATCCAACTGCGTCACTTGGTTCTTTTTTTAACACAGCAAACAAAATATCTAAGTGATGCCGTTTATGTGAGAGGGATTTAATGCAAATTACTTCATAAGCACATTTATTTCGACCATTGAACAATTAAAATTTGAAAACACAGTCATACTTTGTCCCCTTTGCCTTTAGTTTATTTTGTTTGTTTCAGAAGTAAACTCTTGTTTTGTTTTGTAATGTTGGAAATGATCACAAGTCATTTTCCTATCTATTCATGAAATCAGAAGTCCAGTAAATATGGCTGACCCAGTGGTGCCTGGCCCAGAGTGACATTGGTGCATCACAAATAGACTTTAGAGAGGAAATATGAAGGGAAGTGGAGCAACCAGCTGACTCTCTGCTGTGTGTTAAAGCAGCTCGGCATGTGCATGTTTGGTTTCATCTGTGTCTCAGTTCAGAGGATCAGAGCGAGGGAAGCTCACAAAGTCTCCAGCCTGGAACACAGATGGGCCTGTCAGCCTCGGATACACTGACCCCATTCGGTCCTAGACACACACACACACATACACACACACACACACACACACACACCTCATAACAAACCCACACCTCACATTGAGTATTTATTCCTGCCTTCCTCGTGCACTCGAATTCTATTCTAGTAAATACCCATCCCCTCCCCCCCCCCCCCCCCCCCCCCCCTTCTGTCAGCCTTGCCGATGCATGCGTTCCTGTCAGCATGATTCTCCAGCACGACGCTACCTCTCATAACACCTTTTCCACCGTGACTCTAGATAATATGAGCGCCGGGCCCTGCCGACAGCGTTGTCTTGCCAACGCCACCTTGAGATGCGAGAATTTTCTCATCTTTCATGATGATGTTAAATTGTCACAGAAAAGTTGAACACCTCAGGGAGAAGTAAGGCGGCTGGATTTATTTATTTTCTCTTGCAGGGAACAAGATGCCTGGATGTAGAATGATGTTAAACATATCTGACACTTCAGTGCACCGGCAAATGAAGCAATCTGTTAATGAAGCTAATTCTTTTATTAGTGTTTTTTTTTTTTTTTTGTTTTAGTAATGTTTTCTAAATGAAAAATTTTAAGTGGAGTAGAAACAAAAATCAGCTTTTAATGAAAAGTTGCTTCACATCAGTCTGTTAATGCAAAGAAAAATATGTTTAGGGTAAATTTTCCAGTAGCTGAGTTGTTCTTGGTCACATTGCTGCACGGTGCCATGCACATGCTAACTATTATCATTATTGCTGCTGAAAATGATGAAGTCATGAGCCTTGAACTGCTACGCTCATCCCATATAAGGCAACAAAAATGCTTGATTTGTGAAGGAACAGGATTAAGAGCCACAGCTTTGGATCCATGTAGTGACTTTCAGTAGTACGGTGCACATTTTAGGGTGTTTTGGACAGAAATGTCATTGATGCTATGTGTGTTCCAGATTTGTCTCATGTATAATTACATAAGCTCTAAATTGCTCCAGGAAATAATAGTGTAGCATAAATTAGCTAAGCTCTGCAAAAAGAAATGCAGAAAAGGGCATCTAGAGTAAATTTCACACTTTTTTTTAATATTCAATGGTATCTTCTATTTATTGGCTAATATGGAATCCTTTTGTCCCATCTCCTCCCCAGAATGCTCAGAGACTAGGTGGCTCACAGGTGACACAGCCTCTCACCACCCCTGTGGTCTCCGTGGCAACACCCAGCCTCCTTGCACCGTTCCCCAGCATGCAGACGGCCTACAACACTGGTAAGTTATCCTCACGTTCAGGCAGGATGGTTTCCGTTTGTCTGTGTGGGAAAAAAAGGATTTTAAATCAACGGTAAAGAGGAAAGCTTACAATAAAAAAAGTCTAAACTGTGTCATGAAAAATTTGAAGTGCCATGTAGAAGAACTTGCAGTATGATGCCACAAACCACTATGAATATTCACTTTGTTCATTGTGTGAGAGCTTCTGGAATGATTCTACTTCAAAGGTCTACATGAATATGGATTAGCCCTGATTAATATTGATAAAGCAGAGAGTTTTATGATGTAAAACAATCCTCCCCTCACCCTCCTCCTCGTCTTATTACCTCTCTTTCTCCCTCTGTCTTCTCCTCCATCCGTTAATCCCAGAGTACCAGCTGACGAGTGCAGATCTCACGGCGCTTCAGACGTTCACACCACCCGGGCTGGTGCCTGGCAACATGGCTGCCTGGCAACAGCAATCAGCCGTCTCTCAGCAACAACAACAACAACAGCAGCAGCAGCAGCAGCAGCAGCAGCAGCTGACTTTGGCGTCACTCAATAACTTGGTGTAAGTTCACTTTTTTGAAAACCGATGTTTTGTGTGAGGCCCACGTCTAAAGTCCCACCTCTGAACAGAGCTTGGGTATCACTCCAGCTGTTGTTAATGTATCCTTCTGGTGACCTACATACCCCCCACCCCCAAACTGAGCCAAGCTCCTAGTAACAACGCTGCCAGCTGTGTTATCTGCTGCTAGGTGTTTTAAACTCTAAAGAACAACATTAACTCTGATTTTTCCTGCTGGTTATTGAGATTCTGGTTTTGAATTACGTTCACCCTCCAGGTCAGGATGTCTTGTCTTGGAAGAGATCTACATATTTGGTTATTCCTAACATGCACTGCTAGTGAGTTTTCATATGTTTTATTTTACCCAAATTAATTGTGCCACTTTGATCAGCACACACCAACATCATGAGAATAAAAATATCTACCATAAGGCCGAAGGTGCAAACAAATCATACTTTGTCTGGAAAAATGCTCAAAAGAACTTTGTCGTCTTCCTCCGCTTCTCCGGGTCCGGGTCGCAGGGGCAGCATCCCAACTAGGGAACTCACGACCGTCCTCTCCTCGGCCACCTCCACCAGCTCCTCCCGCACGACCCCAAGTCGTTCCCGGACCAGATTGGAGATGTAACCGCTCCAACGTGTCCTGGGTCGACCCGGGGGCCTCCTGCCGGCAGGACATGCCCGAAACACCTCCCCAGGGAGGCGTCTAGGAGGCATCCTGACCAGATGCCCAAACCACCTCAACTGACTCCTTTCGATCCGGAGGAGCAGCGGTTCTACTCCCGAGTCCCTCCCGAATGTCCTAGCTCCTCACCCTATCTCTAAGGCTGAGCCCGGCCACCCTATGGAGGGAACTCATTTCGGCTGCTTGTATCCGCAATCTCGTTTTTTTGGTCATTACCCAAAGCTCCTGACCATAGGTGAAGATTGGGACGTAGATCGACCGGTAAATCGAGAGCCTGGCTTTCTGGCTCAGCTCCCTCTTCACCACGACAGATCGGCTCAGCGTCCGCATCACTGCAGACGCCGAACTAATCCGCCTGTCGATCTCCCGATCCCTCCTACCTCACTCGTAAACAAGACCCCGAGACACTTAAACTCCTCCACTTGAGGTAGGACCTCTCCCCCGACCCGGAGTTGGCAAGCCACCCTTTTCCGGTCGAGAACCATGGTCTCAGATTTGGAGGTGCTGATCCTCATCCCAGCCGCTTCACACTCGGCTGCAAACCTACCCAGCAAGAGCTGAAGGTCAGAGCTGGGTGAAGCTAGGAGGACCACATCATCTGCAAAAAGCAGAGACGAGATTCTCCTGCCACCAAACTCGACACACTCCACACCACGGCTGCGCGTAGAAATTCTGTCCATAAAGGTAATGAACAGAACTGGTGACAAAAGGCAGCCCTGGCGGAGTCCTGCCCTCACCAGGAACAGATCCGACTTACTACCGGCTATGCGGACCAAACTCGCGCTCCTCTGGTAAAGGAACTGAATGGCCCTTAACAGAAAGCCACCCACCCCATACTCCTGGAGCGTCCCCCACAGGGTGACCCTGGGGACACGGTCATAAGCCTTCTCCAAATCCACAAAACACGTGGATTGGTCAAAAGAACTTGAGGGGTTTATTTAATGAATCAGAAATAAATTAAGATGTTTGGTGGTAAATTTTAATATTATTGATTTTTCTTATTAATTTTATTTTACTATTTAAAGTTGTGGAACACAGAAAAAAAATGTATTAATTATTTCTGGTTACAATTTGTCACTCTGAGTTTTTCATGCAGGCTGAACATGAAATAACTGCATTAGCTTCTGATGGTAAAACAATAGGATATCCAAAGTACTGACAGATCTACATCACTGTCCCTTAAAGCCGGGCGTACACTGTGAGACTTTTTCACTCGTAGCACTCAGCTTCAGCTCAAACTGTACGACTTCCTCGCAGGGCAGATCCCACGAGTCATGTGCTCACACTGCACGACCAGTTCTCGGAATGCGACCTGACTGCTCACACCGTACGTCTGGTAGCAACACGTCGGCCCTAAAAATATGCTAAAAATAGCAGTTTTTACACAACACGTCCGACTTTTTTGTCTTGTCTTGCCTGTTGTCCTTCAGGAGTGCTGCAGGAGGACACACAGGGATTTATGGGGGTTGGATGAGGAAAACGAAATAAAGAGAGTAAATCTGTGTTTTGTGATCAGTTTAATTTGACATGAACACGACAAACACGCTTTCTTGGCAATCCTTGTGAGTAAAAAAAACGTGTAGAAACAAAAACGAACAGCGTGTGTTATTAGGGAAATAGCGAGCGACCGGCGTTGATGCAGAATTGTGCGTGCATGCGTCGTGAGCGGTTCTGATACTTTTTGGATCGTAGCTGCTCACAGCTGCTCGCAGCGCTGCTTCAACAGTGCGATACCCTCACGAGGGCCGAGCGAAATATTAAACACACCAGAAGTCCGTGCGACCTCACGACTGCTGATCGGCAGCTGGTCACGTGGTGTTAATCGCCTCTCGTAACCCCCTGTACACTGCACGACCGCTCGGCGCAAAACTCGCCCCGATGTCGTGGATTCTCGCACGACTGGAAAATCGGCTCAAAAAAGTGAAAAAGTCGCACAGTGTACGCCCGGCTTAACATTCATGGACTCAACCATCTTGGCTCACAACGGGGAAGGCTGTTGTTGGTTTAGCATCCAGGAAACAGCAGAGAACATCTCGACTGCCAGAAGCTAATCGTTAGCATTAGCAACTCCACAATATGGCAACTCTTTCAAGCTTGTGTTATTTGTCAAGATAAAACAT